TTATCAATAAATGCTACTATACACTTTTTTTGATACACGATACATGTTTGGTCATTCAATCAGCAATTTTTGCAAGAAATCTTCAATATAATAATATTCAAATCAAAGGTGTATTGTAATTCAGAAGCAATTTGTGGCATAATTGCGAATTTCCAAATGCGAACTGTTTTATAGAAATTAACTCAACAAGTTGTCGTGTTTTTCTTTCTTGATTTTTGTTTTCATATTTTTGATTTGCTTCTTTTGCAGAGTCAATAGAATTTTTAACGTGAATGCATAACATGATTCATTCCATGAACGGGAACTATTTAATTGGGAATTGTCGCGATCAGTAGAAATTAAAAGCAGAGCTTCTTCGAGTCTGGAAATAGAAAATATTTATCTCCACGTAATCTTGAAAAATTTAGGCTGGACATTAATAAATTTAAATTTATAGAACAACCTAAATAGCACAAATTGGAAAACCGGAAAATATTCTCATACAAATTGCTATAGGAAGAAAACTTTACTCTTTAACTTATATTTTCGAGTTCCTACAAGCAAAAGGGAGCACAGGAAATTTTTGGGAGATTTCAGAGGCTGGAACAGAAGCAACGAACTTCATTTTCTTGGTCGCCAGCCCATTAAGGTTGGGCCTATGCGACACAATAGGTCCGGAGGAGCGGCTGGATGGATATACATGTATTGGAGCTGGGCAGGGTGGGAGGCATGTTGTGTGAACACAAAAAAAGGAGAGACGCGGTAGCTTTCACCCCAAAATGATGATCATGAGGGCACGAAAATTATTGTACAGCATATATAATTACTATATATACATATATGTCTGGTATTGGCCAATAAAATTTGAGAATCGTTTTGACAAATTAAAAAAAAATAGAAGTAAAAGATTGCTACTTGGTTACAAATACTCAGTCTGCTACAGCCTAATAGAAAAAGCCCATGTTAATGGGGATTTCAGAGTAGATTTAAAAAGAGGTTAATTCCTCATTATTAATTCTTTAAATCGTATTTTTCGGCAAAGTATTGGCAAAATACAGCATCTGTGCGACGTTGCTGGAGATATAACCTCCATCTTGTGCTCCACGCACGGCCAGAGAGGGAGGAAATTTTGGGCCGCACAAGACTATATCGAGTGGTTTTGAGAGGGAGGTGTTCGAACCATGTGACCGAACCATCGAGTGGTTTGAGAGGGAGGTGACCGAACCATCTAGTGGTTTGAGAGGGAGGTGAGTTGAATGCCGAGGAAGGTGAGTGGGAGTTTTGAGTGGGCTCTGTCGGCGGACAATTAACTTATAAAACTTAGCAGAAATATTTAACGCAGTTCAAAATCTAACTTCTCAACATGTAGCGGTCCAGTTTAATATTTAAGATTTTGTATATGATAAACATATTTAGAAATTTTGAATTAGATTTAATTGTAAAGTCAAGGTTTGTTTATATCTGAACGTAACCACAGCTGAATACAATAGCCAACTTCATTCCAGCTTTTAGTATTTTTGTTACATTGTGCTGGAACCTCTTACTAGAGTAATTACTAAAGTGTTGCAACAGTCATCCTGTACCTATTACATTATTTAATAGCTATATAATTTGATTTATACTGTTTAAAATCGTTTTACATATATTTGTATTTATGTAACTTGTAACAATCCGTTATTTATACAGGGTTCTATACTCAGACCAGAAAAGCGTCTATTATTTCCCTCAATCCTGATAGTGAGATGCTTTAAACATATACCCACTAGGATATCATCGAAAATTTGGTGCTATGAGTCGCGGCGTAGGAAGATGAAACTGATTGAGTTCATCGGGATTAAGCAAGATAGCTAGCAATTTGGTTCAATTAACACTTATGAGTTGATAAATTTAAACAATTATATGCATTGACATTTGTATCAAATAAATTTGATTCACTTTAAGCCTCATTTCATGCATCTTGAAAATTAATTTTACACTAATTGTATAATAAATTAATAATTTCAATGGCAATGAGCAGTTTGTTTAGGGAAACCGTCAGAATTCAATTTAATTTTGTATACGAGTTATTCAAAATATATTATAAGTTCAATGACGAATTGCATGTAGCAGCTCGGTAATGCGCGTGTCAATAAGTTATACAAAAATTTAAAAGCAAATAATAGGTCAATCAAGTTCAATTTTTTGATTATTCATTTGTTGAATTGATGATGTATCTGGTCTCCTAAACGTTTTCATTAAATATATGGTGAACTTGCTTGGTGTTTTCTACGATTTTAAATTCTTAGTGAACTTGTGATTTAAGCAGACTAATGAAATAAAAAATACTTATAAAAACTATATTTTTTGACGCCGGCGTATGGCTGAGGTCTGCGTACAGCCAACGGGGGGAGGGAGAGTCTCGTAGGGAGACACAAGGCAGGGGGAGGGAGAGTCTCGTGGGGAGACACAAGGCAGGGGGAGGGAGCTGTCTCTTATACACATCTAGATGTGTATAAGAGACAGGCAGAGACGCGCAAGGGTGGGCAGAGACGCGCAACGGTGGGCAGAGATGCGCAAGGGTGGGCAGAGACGCGCAACGGTGGGCAGAGACGCGTAGGGTGGGCAGAATAGGCGTAGGGTAGCGTCACCCTCGCCCCACATCAGCAGCTGCCGCCCCATTTCCCACAACGGATCTCGGGACAGATTCGCTATACTCGCTCGCCCCATCCCATTGCCTGTTCCAGGGAACGGGCCTCTGCTCTGCGACGTTACTCCCGTTTTGTGCAACAGGTTCCCGTTTTATGAAACAGCCGCTGAACTACACGCTACGATATTTATCTCACTGCTCATCAAAGTTTTGCAGAATAGGTTCCCGCTTTAATTTACAGGCAAGGAACTAAAATGCTCACTAAATCTCGCTGTTGAATTATTTGTTATTTCAATTGATTCAATGATCAATAAAACAAGGTTAGATTTTCTTGAAAGTGCTTCACGATCTTAAGTTGAAAAGATAATTTTATAATAGAAAGATAGAAAACTCACTGTTATTTTAATCATTAAAGAAAACCTCAGTGAAATGAGACTTCATAATTTGTAAAGATATTTTAAAAACGAAGTGTGGCGGCTTCCATACACCCGAGTTACTGACACCGTCATAAAGAGAACTAGAACGCGCAGTTGCGATTTGTCTTATATATGTATATACGATTTCAAATTTCTCCGTTGTCACTATATCAGCCTTGTACCTGATCGAAGTTAGTACATCAAGCGCCGTTGTCCACATTCGGAACCATGTAATTCGTAATCTTCAAGGCCGGAATATCTGCTATTTTGTTGTTACGACCCCTAATTTTAACACGATTAAGATTTGGCATTATTAAATGTAGAATATCGTACTTTTGAGTAATAAGTTTTTATTTGTTGTTTCTGTTTACAAGTTATAGGTAAAGGAAAGAACCTCTCGTGTATCTTATTTTTCGAAAGGTAGTTATCTGCCCGAAAGAGCGTTAACAATGAACCGCTCGCTCACAACACGAAGCGTATAGCTCAGATACACGTGAGAAATTCATACGTTTTAGTAAATCAAACTGAAGTTACGCCAGAACTTGTCACAAATAGTGTAACTAACGAATACAATTTACAATTGCAACATAATCGTATGACCATGAGATGAAAATATTTATACGATTACTGTATACATTTATCATAATACAATGTATACGAACTATTCTACTTACGAATTATAAATTTCGTACAATGTACGATTCTACTTACGAATTCTAAATTTGTAGGAGCATAATACATAATGTAATTTTCGACATCAATAGATTGCCCGAGGATATTATACAAAATATCGTGATTTTAGTTATGACATGAATGTAGCGCCCAAATAAATGAAACGTTTGTTAAAAGTATAACTTTTGCCTGGACTATGACTTACAGAATCGCATTCTAGCTAACGATCGTAACGCGGCTAAAGACCACAACACAACTTATGACTAAATAATATAACATATTCAAAATTATGATCGAATTATAACGATTACTATTTAATTAAAGTCATTTCTTAATTCACGATTTATAATTTAAAGAATTTTTTTTTTCATTTTAGAGACATAACTTGCGATGACACAATATAATGATAGCATAACATTAAGATGCGACGGATTAACACAGAATTACTTAATTACGATGATGGCAAATTTCAATTATAGCATAAATCATGATCATAACACATCTCACGTCTACTGTATCGCGTGCGATCATTATATAACGTAAAGGTCATGATAATTAAAGGCAGAGGTAATTAAAGTTGACCGTAAAGATAATTCCCGACTTTTCTTGTTCAATCACTACACAATAAACGCTCAATAATTCAGCAAGCGGCAGTTATTTAATTTTTAATCTTAGAACAACTCACGGTCATACAGAGACTTGGGTTAAAAATTCAGACGCTGCAGCCTAAGACCAAGAAATTTTTCCTTGATAATAAATGTTGCAAATGAGCGTGGTTAGCGTGAGATGGCGACGACTCTGCAACTGGCAATAAGACGCCGCCGTCGCCATACTCGGCGCAGGCGACGAAAGCCTTTTCAAGAGGCTGGCTACTCATGTCATTGTCTTCCTATCAGCGACCACGATAACGAATTAAAAAAAATGCGTCGCTTCACTCCACCGTTATGCGTATGTGACGCTGGTGTCTTGTGTGTTATTTTCGGCTGTTGACGCCAAGTGTTAATGCGATGCTATTGAAATTTATCGTCTATAGGTTGTTGTATTTTGTAGATAATGTTTAAATATGAGCTGGTGATTGAGATGCTTCATAATTGTTTTTTCTATTATTTTATTGCTTACCAATTTTTAAGTTAGTTTATAAATATCAGCAAATTGCTGTACTGTATACGACTTTTTGTCTTCGGAAAACTTTTAACCCTCATTTCACATGCAAAAAATTATAAAATTACTTCGAACCCCAAGTTTTCCCTTCAAAATAAGCTGAGACAATATTTACCAAAGCAAAATACTCAACATAAAACCCTCACCTGGCGTTGAGTTCAACATCGTTCGTAAGGTGCAGAGGTAAGAGGGACATAAGACCAGCAGTTGACGAAGTTGTTGACAAGAGTTGAGCCTCGCACGTCAGTTGAAGAGTGCGCAGGTGTATCGTGTCTTGTTGCTGGGCTTCACTGGACAGTCTTACTTCTTGCCGTTTGTTTTGGAGTTCATTTTGGTTTCCTTGATGAGATTTGGACATACTGAGGTCATGTGCTATTCCCTCAACGGGGGATTGCTCGGATGCCGTGTGGGACTGGAGGTGTGGGTCTGAGGAGTTAGGGTCCACAAATTTTTCTGATACTAAGATGAGATTTGGGACAACTGCAGTTTTTGGGACCACTGCTATGCTTGGGTCTACGGACATGGTTTGTGCCATTGCTTGGCTAGGGACCACAGCTAAGTCTGGGACCGCAGTCTCCCCATCCTCTCCCTCCCCAACCAGAGCCCCACCTGCTCCACCGCCCCCATCCCGCTCGTCGTGTCGGGGATGAGGCGGGTGGTAGGGTGAGGAAGATAAGGATGAGGTAATGGTGGGGAAGGGAGCCACCTTGGGGAGAGGGTAGGCCGTCGTGTAGTCTTGAGGAAGGCTTTGGTGGCAAGCAACTTGAAATGTTTATAGCAGTCACGGCTGCATGTTTTGTTCAAGTCCGGTTGAAACTAATTAGAATATGTTAATTGATTTACTGGTAGTCAATGTGTACGAAGCCTAGAATGATTATCATTTTTACAATTTAAATAATTTCTTCGTCACCATCACAAAACAAGTATTAAATTCTCTTCATACGTTTTTTACTTCGGATTTACTATCATTTCTGATACGTTATATTTAAGCAAGGAATTTGCGTAAGTAAAATGATTTGAAAATATAATTTTGTACACAAAACACTTAGAACACTGTAAAAAGTTGAATGTTCAAAAAGTTACTGTTTATAAAGTTATCTGAACACAATAAAACACGGCGTTCCTTTCAAAATAATTCACTTGCATTTAATTTTTAAGACTTCTTATAGTAGAAAGGTCGTAGGGTTGAATAGTTAATTAAAATTCAGAACTAGTTTAGAGAGGCAAACGTATTTTACAGCTGCAAATAAGATGTACAAAATTCAATTCAAGACATTTTTCCCGATAACTGCACAAAGGAATTTATTGAACAGGATTAATTTCCCTTCACTTCAGGGTATTCCCAGGGTTACAAGTAGGAATTTCCTTTCACTTTAAGATATTCTCGAGGCTACGATTAAAATTATACTTTGATCTTGAACGGGAAGTTTAAAGTTTGGAATGAACTTGGATAAAATAAATACAAAGCTTCGGATTAATAAGTGAACAGATTCTTCCAAATTCGTAGATGAAAATACGGCATTACAACAAATATGTGAGGAAATTTCAACCAATAATAATTGTTATTATTGTTCGCTGTTGCAGGAGAGTTTGTGGAAGTTATTTTTTATATAATGTCAAACCGACAAAAAATTATTGCCAGGGTAAGCCAAAATACTACGCTCCGAATTATGTAATTTCAAATATATTACTTCAATGCGCCAAGAGGCGAGCAATCTGTTTTGAATTGTCGGAAATTTATGAGTGTGCATGATCTTTTACAGAATTATGAATATATTTGTCAGCTTTACAATGATCCTTGTCAGTTTATAAATGAAGTTCATTATCAATTAGCAGTATAAATCAGTATTGCAAAGATCATTGTCATTATTAAAATCAGTGTCAACTTCATCAAAATAAATTTAAAAATAAAAATAATTGTATTATGATAATAATTAAATAATAAAGAATAATAAAATTATTTAAAATAATAGCAGCAGAAATCAGTATCACGAAGATCATTGTTATTCTCAGGATCAATGTCATGGAGATCATTTTGACGATGGTTATTTTGAAGATAATTTTGACATTGCTCTTTCGTTGAAGCTACCATATTCCAGCGTACCAAATTAACTAACTGGTTTAACGCCCTTATTGTTAGGAAATTGTTACGCAAAGAAACTTTCCTACGAAAAAATCTAGCAAACGAATTCATAAGCGGGTTTGAAGTTAATTGACAACATACAGGAAAATATATAACATTTATAATGATGATCTTGTTACCCTGAATGAACGTTAAATGAATGATGATGGCCTTGGAAACGAATCGAAACTTTATGGCATAAAAATACTAGAAAATCAAAAAAGTTTATACGGCGCCATGGAAGCACTGTTCAACAAAAGAACATAAAAAAATCCACAAAATAAATAGATTTTAATGATGACATCACAACTCATTGCTTAAGTAAATCATTGCAAAGTTTGTCTTGCATAAACAAATGCGACATTCATCTGATAAATAGACTAACTAATTTCAATTCCCGAAAAAAAATTGAAATTCAAATTTCAGGAATTAGGCCAATAAATATTGGAAATAATAAACAGTTCATTTGTATATTGAAAAATCAATGAAATTCAAAATAAAACTTTTAAGCGTTTTTTTTAATATTCGCAATGAAAAACTGCCAAGAAAAAATACCCTTCAGACAACTGCGCATGATAATAGTTTTTAATTTATTCACATGGCACTCAATAAGAAAAGATTTTGAATTCGAGCCCTCATTCTCTTTGACTTTTATACATTCGCAGTTTTTAAGTGAAAAGCTAAAAATAAGATGGAATTTAATATTTGCCGAATATTTTTTGCAGCTGCCGAAAAAATGTAAAGTACGCAGCAATTTTTTGTGTGGGCATATGCGAAGAGGCATTATATTAAATGCGAAAAGTCACGTATATAAATTTTTAGATAATATTTAAATCGTATAAATATTATTAAAATATGAAATATTATAAAATTTAGAATATCATTCGCACTTTTGTTTTAAATTTGACAAATTTTTGCCTCATTAAAATATGTAAAGAGCGCAATACGAATGTTTCTACCGGAAGTTGTCAGTAAACAGAACTATACCCATCCATCTATTACACTTATTAATTCTTCCAAATGAATAAAAAAATTCGATTTATATTAGAAATTACTTTCAATATGCAAATAACTTTTCCGGACCGATCGCATTCAAAGTACCTCAGAAAAGAGTACTGAAATGTTTGTAATTAAAACATACATAAGAAGAAATTATCCATTATAATTTATCATATGATGAGTTATAAATGGTGAACTTCCATAAAAAATTTTTTAAAAATTGTACAAAGTTTCAAATTTTTCCAAAGCCGACTCCCGCAAAGCGATCGGTCTCGGATGCAATGCAGCTGCGCTCACGACGCCCACACCCTCCACCTACACACGCCCCAGCGACACTGACACGGGGCACAGTAACCAACCTGCATGCCCAGCCAGGTACTCAGCCACCTCGCCCAGCCACCCACCCACATTGCATACGGTCCGCCACTCCCACTCAGCCACCCACCCACCCAGATTGCATACGGTCAGCCACTCCCTCTCAGCCACTCATCCATTCAGCCACCCACCCACATTGCATACGGTCAGCCACTCCCACTCAGCCACCCACCCACATTGCATACGGTCAGCCACTACCACTCAGCCACCCACCCACATTGCATACGGTCCGCCACTCCCACTCAGCCACTCACCCACATTGCATACGGCCCGCCACTCCCTTTCAGCCACTCATCCATATTGCATACGGTCAGCCACTCCCACTCAGCCCGAGTTCCTGCCAAAAAGCGCGCAATGCAACAATCTGTTTGGCTGTGAACTATTATATGCGAATAATATACGGCACCAAATGAATTCAATGAGTGAGAGTTAAAATTTTCTTAATACTAACCGTTCACATTACAATTGAATGTGAATGAGAGTTAAAAACGTTCATTCTCGCACCAATCGAATTCAATGAATGAGAGTAGAAAAATTTCTTGATACTAACCGTTACTGCAGCGTCTTCTAATAATCGCGGAAGCGCAATAACCGCGCCCACGCGACGCGGGCTGCCCGCTGCCTCGATTATTGCCCCGCCCACCTGCAGCTGCCCCCAGTCAGCCAACCGACAGGCAGCCAGCCTGACAGCCAGTCAGACAAACAGTCAGCCAGTCAGAAAGCCAGAAAGCCAGTCGGAAAAACAGGCAGCCAGTCAGCCAGCTAGTCAAACAGCCTGCCTGACAGGCTGACAGACAGGGAGACTTTGGAACAGAAGTCGGCCAGTCGTGTTGTCTGCGGCTGTAACGGCTGCCGGTATAATCTTGGTATAACGGTCCCCGTGTTGGTATAACGGACTCCGCCTCGGTATAACGGTCCCCGTCTAGGCAACAGTCAGTCAGTGTAACGGAAAGGAAATTTTATTCAGATTTTTAAAAACATTACTCTAATTAATTTAATTGCTTTTAACGCATAATACGTAATTGCCTGCGGATTTACACTTTTCGACAATCAGAGAAGGCACAACACCATTACCATGCCGCACATAGATGTCACTAAGGATTTTGGCTATAATGAATGTGCACAATAATGACTAAAAAAAGCAATAATTTCGCTGAAAAAAACTGTATCAATTTTCACCATTATTTGGATATCAATCACTTCTTTTTCGAAGTGGTTCATCGAATGAAAACAATGCTTGAATTCGATTTAGTTTTCTGGTTAATTAATAAGTTATCGGTTCATCAGCCGCCGCGCTTCAAATATTCAACAGATTTATTCGCAGCTACGCGAGATATTTCACTTGAGTGAATGTTTAAGAAATATTTTCACTTGAGTGCTGAAAATTCATTCTGTCTGAATTTTTATTTAAATTTGATAGCGTGGTGATTCTTTTTAAGTCCAATAAAAAGTATATTTGGACGTATAATTTTGTTTTGTTTTGTACATATGATATCTAGAACATAGAATCTTACTGCGGTACATAAGTTATATATAGCACTCAGCCGTCACCCAGAACACATACTATACATAGTATACATAGTTCAGGGTAAAATTGCACCCGAAAGAAGAGGAATTTCAGGGAAAAAGTCATTTGGGGGAAATTAAGTCGTCTAGGGCAAAATGAGTCATTTACGGGAAAAGTAAGTCGTTTTGGAGCAAATACGTTTTTGAGGAAAAATAGGTCGATTAGCAGAAAAATAGGTCGCTCTGAGGAAAAATAAATCGTTTAGGGGGAAAATAAATTAAGTCGCTTTGGAGTAAAATAAGTCTTTTTTTTGGGGGGGGGGGAGGGGAAGTCGTTCAGGGGAAAATAAGTCGTTTTCGGGAAAAATGTCTTCTGTGGGGAAAATAAGATGTTAGTGGAAAAATAGGCTAATTTGGGGGGTAAGTCGTTAAGGTGAAAAGCAAGTCTTTTGGGGGAAAATAGGTCGTTTTGAGGACAAGTGAGTCGTTTATTGGAAAAATAAGTCGGTT